TCAACAGTCCTCAGGTGGCCACAGATTGGGGGTAATGCTGTAAACACGTGGACATAGTGCGTCATAACTTGCATTTCACGTTAACTGTACATTCACATTAATAGATGGGTGTGATGATAGACATTTGCTTTTAGTATTGTTTCTTGAGCCTGAGAGCTCTCCTTTTATGAAAGTAATCTGCACTCCTGTTAAGCACCATACAGTTGCTCGGTAACTTTTGTGAGTCAGGGTGAGGGAAGCTGCTTTGTTTTTGTCCTGTTCATCTGGATAATGTCCACTGAGAGGCTCTTACGTAACTGCAGGTCCACAGAACATCGAGTTAGCACCATGAAGCGTGACTGCTTAGTGTTATCTCAGAGCCACACACAACATCCACAGACTGAGGCTTTGCTTTCTCTCTCACACACACGCTCTGTTGAAACACAGCTTTTAATTTTTGAAAAAGTCTCTAAATCATCTTACATGTAATCGTTAACTTTCAGGTTCATGTGTTGTTCTCTGGAGAACAGCCAACATTTTTTTTTTTGTCTATAAAAACTAAACAAGAAGTAATACTTAGCCCTTCACTGAACACCATTACTGCATTGGATTACATAATTTAACAGGCACTGTTATTAAAAGTATGGCAGCATTAAAAACTTTGTTTTTGTTGTTGACCAAATGCTATAAGTTTTCAAAAAGTAAGAAGTTCAAGTGTCATTACATCTGAATTTCTTGTGTATAGATTTTGCATAAAGTATGGCAGATATGTTAAAATGAGAAACTGGTCATTCTATAAGTGTTTCACAAGCTAGTGGGCAACTTACAGTGAAATCCCTGCTGGACTCAGCAGCACTGGACACTTCTGCATGTGCCGCAAAGGTCATTATAAACAACAGGAATCAGTCGCTCTGGAAAGCAAGCTGGGTTATGTGAGGACACCCTCACTAAATTAGCCCAAACATCTTTTTCTGTATTATGCTCTGCTTAAAAAAAAAAGAAAAGAAAGAAAGATACTAGTTCATATTGGTCAACATACACTAACCAGCCACAACATTTAGCTACACCTTGCTAAGTACTCGATTGGACCCCTGCCTTAATTCTTTATGGCATAGCTAAACCAAGGAAGCATTCCTGAGGGATCTTGGTCCATATTGACATGATTGAGATCTATCAACTGTTCAGCCTGTTTGAGCACAGTCAACTCATGTTATAGAGTCCAGTATGAGATGATTTGAGCTTTGCGACATGGTGGTTTATCTTGCAGATGGCTACACTGTCACTGATGTCAAAGGTAGTACTCAGGTACATGGTACTCGGTTGGTGCTGAGGTGGCAGTGTACACAAAAAAAAACATCCCCCACACCATTACACCACCACCAACAGCCTGAACTGTTGATACAAGGCAGGATGGATCATTTATTTCCTGATTGTTTAAGCCAAATTCTGATCCTACCTCCTAGACTCAACAGACCAGGCATTATTTTGTGGGTCTGTGAGTTGTAGCCTCAGTTTCCTGCCCCTAGCTGACAGCTGTGGCACCCAGTGTGGTCTTCTGCTTCTGTAGCCCCGCTACTTCAAGGTTTCATGTATCAGGCATTCAGAGATGCTCTTCTGTGCACGTTGGTTGAAATGAATGGTTATTTGAATTACTTTTGCCTTCCTGTCAAGTCAAGCCTCTGACATCATCTGGGCATTTTTTGCCCACAGAACTGCCACCCACTGGATAATTTTCTCTTTTATGGGTCATTCTCTATATTCCCAAGAAATGGATCTCAGGAAAATCAGAAGTTTCTGAAATATTCAATTCAGTCTAGTCCATCTGGCAACAAAAAGAACGTTTAAAGTCCCTAAAATCACGTTAATTCCTCATTATGATTCTTAGCGTGGTCAACTTTACAATTTCTCTGTCTAAATGCATTGAGCTGCAGTCATGTGATTGCCTGATGAGATAATGGTGTTATCGATATGTTGAACAGGACAGCTTTCGACATTTTCCAGGGTTCACATGCATTGTCATTGTTAGCCCCTTTTAAAGGCGATGCTTGCCTCGAGTTCTTCACCTTTTTCTCAAAGACACCCTCTGGAGGAAGCTCATTTGCATTGCTTGTATGCAACGTCATTGTTTCAGTCACTACCCACTGCTTGTGTCCATAGCACAAGGTAGGAATGTAGACAGACAAGCTAATCAACAGTTTTACTGTCACATCTACATTACTACACTACTTTAGTTCTTCCGCTTCACGCTGCAAAACGCCCAAGTGTGAGGTCGAGAGCATCACCTGACGAAGTCAAGAGAGCAATCCTGAGACCAGCAAAGTCGAGCCACTCCCCTACTTGGCTGCTCCTAGAAATTCTCTCCATAAAATTCAGAGAATCGCATCAGAACTTTTCTGACCAGTTTATGATGTCATTGTGGTTAGAGCCATCTTTTATATACGGTCTATGGATATAAACATTTTATGTATAACAACTATTTTGTTTGCTAATGCTAATTCAGTTTGAGCAGACTAAAGGTAAAGCCCCAGCCAGATGTGAGCAATAAGCTGCTAGCTCGTTGCCTGTTTATACTTGTATTGGGGATCATTTTGAACTGCGGGGTAACTCAGCAGGACAGTGCAAGTTGAACTGACTTAAAATAAACCTCAGTTGTCACGTTTTTGCAATTTAATTGCTTAAGGAAACATTAAACCTTACATATCTTTGCTTGTTTTAAGTGAAACTGAGTAAATATATCCTCTATTGCAACAAGATCTCAGTGACCATGAACACAAAATCAACAAAAGCTAGTTTTTGCCCAGTAACCAAGAGATGTGGTGTTACTTTTATACTTTAGATGGTGTAAATCACACCTACTTTTTTTCTTGCGTTTCTTGAAACCCAAACTGTTTTTGTTTTTTTTGTTGTTCCACAGGTGATGGCTGTGGCCCCAGTATACTTGGCCCCGAGAGTGGGACTCTGTCCTCTCTGGGATACCCAAGGACGTATCCGAACAACACTGTGTGCGAGTGGGAGATCAGTGTGCCGCATGACAAGAGGATCCATTTTCTCTTTGCTTTATTGGACATAGAAGACAGCGACTGCCAGGTCAACTACCTCCGCCTGTACAACGGCATCGGTCCAAACAGGAGCGAGATTGGTGAGGGTGACAGGCGGATGTTAAACTGGACTTAATGTTTTGTAGAGGGCAAATCCAAGTTGTTGTTAAAAATAAACATGCAGTAAACAATACAGAGTAAGGGAATCCTGCTTGTTTCTATATAAAGCAGCAGATCAGTCTGTGATAGGTTTTTGTCAGGTTTTGGACTGATCTTTGGAAAGCCCTTCTCTGTGCGTCATTCTAACACTGCCTATTGGGTGTCAGAGTCTAACAATTTTCTGAAATCGACAGTTCAACATTCACACCCACTCTGTCATGATTGGCCGGTGTCCAAAGATGAGAGAGACTGTACCCACAGTTTAATCATTTTTCTCTAGCTTTCCTTTCTTCTGTCACTCTTCTTACAAATAATGAACTACCATACTACTGAAGAGACTGTGTCATTGTTATTAACCCATTATCTTAATTCTGTTGCGTCTTCCTTTTCTTGATGATGTCTGGCTTTTCACTTCAATGTTGTGTGCGGACATTTGAAATGCCTGCAAACGCCTCTTCTTTCAGACGAGCTTGGAAAACGCGTCTTATGAGCAGATAATGAACATTATCTGTTTATAGGCAGAGGAGAAATGTGGTTATTACATTAAAGGAGTTAAATGTCAGGAAATTGGAGGACCTATTGTCTTTCACTGTTATAACCTCGCCATTGTAAGTTATTAGGCAGATTTCGCCCTGATCTCAGCCAAGGGTGGATTATTTTAAGCTATGGGTGTTTTTGGGCAGTTTAATACGCTAAAGTCAGAGTCATTGCATGATGCATAGGGAATATAAAGCCTGCTAAGGTCATGCGTTTGTTTCCAACATTGGTCTTTGCTAATACATACTACTAATAGAGATGCACAGCAGCGTCTCTGAGCCTTTTTATTATTGAGTTTCTCATATTTTTACCATCAGACGTCTAACCTTGGTAGATCAGAAGCTATCAGAGCAATAAGAAAACTTTGGCCTATTATCACAAGTGTTATATTTAGTATAAACTGAGCAAAACTCGTTTTCATTGCCAAAGCCAGCCATCTTTCGTCCCCCCCGTCTGAATGCGTTGTTACGTTTGTGTTGCTATATCAGATTTAAAGTAACAAATGCTTAAAATAATCAGTTGTAACATTTCTTATGTCTTTGTGCTATTTCCAATCAAATGTTGGCTTTAAATGATTTACAAAATACTGCACTCTGCTTTCATCTCACACAGTCTCAGCAACAAGTTTATGCCTCCTAGAATATTGGTCAAATTCTAGTGAAATGTGCACATGTTGCGCTCACGGTCAAGGTCACATTTGTCATTTTACGTGCAATAACCTGTGAATTGAGCCGGACGAGCTGCTGCCTGATTGTGAAAATTTTCAATAACCAGATTGACATTGTCCCAAGGTTTTTGGAAACACTGTTGCCTTATATCAATCTAAAATATTGCTATGTATGGATGTAAAGCATTGGAAAGTGTATTATAATGCATGATGGTGCACATGAATATCTCAACAAATATATCAGTCTGTGGCTGACGAGTCTGCATCATATATCTTGTTGTTATTATTATTATATATTTATATTATAATTTAGGCCATTATGACCATGAAGGAGGTGTTAGGTTGCTCTTTATCAGAAGGGTCTTATAAAAACCTGCATTTAACTTGGTGAATCCTGGAGAAAGAAAATTAGATTGAATTTTCCCAGAATATATCCGAGACACTCCTCAAGTCCATCTTACTTAATGAAACTGATGAAATCTTGTTTTTGTGGTTTTGTTTTTTTGGGGCATTAATTTGTTTAACTGACCAGCCTCTTTGTATCCCTGTTCTGCTTAACAGTGAAGCTCTGCGGGTTGGGTCTGAAGGTTGAACATCTGTTCAATTCCACTGGCAACCAGGCCACTGTGCAGTTCATGAGTGGGACCCACCATACTGGACGCGGTTTCTACCTGTCCTACTCCACCACTGAACACGCAGGTAACGGCAGACTCTCAGCTCACCCACGCCGAAGTCTCTCATTGTCTTCTTATCATCCCAGCCTGCAGTAACAGTCGTGTGGTTCAGAAATCTCAAGTTTGAGCTTGTGTGCACGTCTGCTTCGGCCCCGGGGTGGGGGAATAAGACTTGATTCAGCGATTGTGAGTTTGGGTTAATCACAGCTATTTCGTTCTGCACCTTCACATTATTTTAACAGCTCTGAAGTAATCTGGGTGTTCTGGAAAAGTCTTGCACGCAGATCAGTAACACATGGGTTTGTCTAAAAGCTGGCAACCTGTTACTGTTGGTGTGTAAGAACTGCAGATCTCCCTCCTGTTGGATCATCCAGTTTTCTCTGTTTGTCAAAAATCCTGCCGGTGTTAGTGGATGAAAACGTCAGTCGATCAGTCCGGGCAAAAGTGATACACCTAACACCTAATTGGCCAACACTGCAACCTCTAGATGGGACTGTCTAAGTTTTCTGTTTCTAATGGGTAAAGTTGGAACAGGTCTGACTTTCTATGGCTGCCTTAAACATCTTTTTGAGGATTGTGCATGCAGTTTTTCCACTGGGCCAATTCAGATGTGTCCAAACACTTGGAACCAAGAGAATCTTTAATGGGGCTGGGCAGGGAGGGTGACTCGTCATTTTATTTTGCTAATTTAATCATCTGCCTCTTAAAGAATTCCATTTGGTGAATAACAAACTGATGTAATGGAGTTGAAAGCACGCGCATGCTAATAAATAGATATTTGGCCATTGTGCACATTCTTGGTGCTAGTTTCTGGGAAATAACCCTTCTTCAATGTCCACTGTGCTTAAAAACAGTGTCACTCTAAGTCATATTTGAAAACTAGTGCTTTTGTATTGCCTGGATATTTAATATCATATATTAGTTGCAACAAGTTAGTCAATTAGAGGCTGCAGAACATCCTTTCATGTGATTGCTCGATTTAGATCCTTTGGCTTTTTTCCCCCCAGTTTAAAAAGAAAATGGTTCTAAATATTTGTGTGTTTGTGCAAAATGCCCCTTCTCACACACCGGCTAATATGTTCTCATACTGACAGTGTTATATGTATGTTGAATGTTTTTATGATCAGGACCAATGTAGATGACATGCATGCCTCATTATCCTATATGCAAACGATATCCATGGTGATAAAAAGACCACACAAAAAAAGAGAGGTGGGAGTTGAATAGAGAACTGTGTGTTCACTTCTGTGGCGACGGCGCTCGAGGCCGCATGAGAGGCTTTTTACGATGTGGTGTTTGCTCACCGCGGAATACGAATTTAAACATGCAGCAAAGATAAGGAGCTGCTCTGCTGTGACTGTCTGGAATTCCAGCTGCAGTATGTGCAGGGTGATCATGCTAGTGGGCATCGTTTCAGATGGCTGTTTTTCTTACATAAATGCGAGAACAGCGAGGGGTGGCATGAGCAGATGCTAACCACTGAATGTGCACAATTTTGGGTTTAGTCAGATTGAAAATTAGCAGCATACCATGACTGGGGGAAAAAAGTAAATCTACTGTTTTCTTACTGGATGTGTTCCCACTGGGCTGTGATGGTTAAAGCTGAGTGTAGTTAATGAAAGTAGCAGGGAGGGGGTGAAGGAAAATCCAGACTTTTTGGGAAGTGGAAAAGGGGCAAAGCCACAGTGAAGCCACAATGGCACTGAGGGGTAAAAGGAAGTGAGAGTAATTGAAAAAATATTCATGGTTTGTGGTTTTATTGTAAGACTTGCATCCTGTGAGAAAGTCCTAATTGAGCTCAACTGTGATATATTACACAGTAGTGAGGTTGCAGGATTAGATGAATTGTAACAGCCGGTGGCAGCTCGATCCAAGTCACTCATGTTAGAGTTCTGCACAGGGACAATGGGGACAAAGCTGTACGTTAGCTTAATTACCAAGGATTTAAAATTAGAGATTTATTTCCTTAGTAAGCATCTCCCTTGTTTCTGAAGACGTGCCTCGTCATGTGGATGCTTTGGAGATAAATGGATAATTGGAGCCACAAGAAGAAAGCCGCAGCAGTGACGTGTGTGCGATGCAGTAATATTTTTGTCTTGGCGGTTATCTCAGCTCGACTGAATCACTGCAAGGCAAACAAGGCCATCAGTGCGCCCAGCCACTTTTTCCACAAAGGCGCTGATGTGCGTGATGTCGTCTTGTAACTGATGCATGCAGATGAGCGTGGGTGGACAGCTAAGTAACTGAGTAACCATGGTGATTGGGGGTGTTTGTCATTTTTTTGACTCATTGGTTGGTCTGCCAGATAAAGGGTTTTATTTTTCTCTTTGTAATGTGGTGAAGACTCCCACACACTGACCATCTCCACGAGGTTTATTTACACTTCTTAGTAGCCCACATCATCCTGTTGGACTTCACGTCCACACCCAACTGACATACCTCTCCAATAACACACATCCTTCACTGGATGACTTTAACGTGTTCGACCTGGATGTGAAAAACAACCAAAATTGCTCCAAAATGAACTGATTCCAGCTACTTAATGCAATTACTTTGCTGTGTTTATTTGTCTGCTGTGATCCAGTGAGAGTGAACTGAACATCTGCTCGCTTGAACAACACAAAATAAATAAAAAAACATTTCAACCTGAGTGCTCTGGATGGTTGCTTTTAGCCATTCTAGCAGCGGTGCACTCTGTTGAATGGTCCATCTCACCACTTTGCTTCACAGCTGTTTAATGTTTAATGTACCCACCCTCGTGGCACTCCGAGGAATCCCAGTGGGGCTTATGATTCGCTCACTGTCACCGTGAGGCCAAATTTAGTCAGAACGTTGGATTTGTCGAAATGTATGTTTAACATTAATCAGCGATTACGATGATGATTAGCTGGATATGGTAAACGGTTCACAAGGTAAAGAAACTGAAAGGGTGGATTTAAGAAGAAAATAAAAGTGGGTGATACTTTATCAAGAACATGCAGAGACCAGTTCTGATGCTGTTTATTTGCCTTTGCAGATCTAATCACCTGCGTGGACAAGGGAATGAACTTCACCGAGGCAGAGTACAGGTAAACAGAGTTTGCTTTTTGTGCATGTCGGCGCACTGATTATACTGGTGGATATGAACTGTGAACGTGCCGCTCTCTTTTTAGGAAGTACTGTCCGGCAGGCTGCTTGACATCTACAGAGGAGATTTCTGGAACTATACCCAATGGTTACAGAGAGGTGGGTACACGCCCCGTCTATGCACAGACATACACGTGCATCGCTTTTATTTATGTTTTCTTAGCTACAAGTTATCTTTGTGAAGGAGGCGAAAGGAGCGGTGGCTCAAACGTGTCTTGGATTGATGACCTCACAGCACTCCCGCTGCGTGTGAGGTCACGGGCACTAAGTCTCTGGTTGATGACCTCATGTTTAGAGCTTGAGGATGTCTCATAAGGAGCGAAGGGAGGAAGGGAGCGAGAGAGGGAGTGGTCATGCTGGCTGACGGGAGGATAGGGAGGAGCGTGGGGTTGTGCTTCAGGGAACGAGGCGCCCCACAGGAACAGAGGAGGGGCAGGGTCAGCGGGTGAAAGGGAGGTGAGATAATAGTTTGGCTGAAAATAATAACCTTGTAATCCAGTCCAGCTGCAGGAGGTGTGTGCGTGTGTGTGTGTGTGCGTGTGTGTGTGTGTGCGTGTGTGTGTGTGTGCGTGTGTGTGTGTGCGTGCGTGTGTGGAGAGCAAAAAGCCTGAAGAGTGAATCAGTGTGATTAGAAGTTGGAGAAACCCTTTGTGTACGTGCATGCCTGAGCCGCTTTTGCTTGTGTGCATGTGATTCATTCATGATTGTGTCTTTGGGAGTGTGGAATATGATGGTGAGTGTGTGTGCGTCTCTCACAAGGATCAGTTTCTACACCCAGATCATAATCCTGCAGCTGACTTTAGTTTTTTTTTAATAATTTTACTTCACAGATTTATTCGGTGATCCATGTTCTGGTATTTATTTATTTATTAAAATTTCCATCTCCCACTTATAACACGTGTTAGCGTGGTTTCCTCTGCTGGAGGCAGGGCGCTGTGGTTTGGAGCATTACTTTGTGTTTGTGTTAGGGGTTTTGGCTGGCTCTCTTAAGGATGCGGTATGTGTTTTTGGGGAAGTTTAAGAGTCACACGGAAAGTGTTGATTGCTTGTGGCAGCCTCTAACTGCTACGTGTGTTTGTGAATACATGCGTGGGCTTGTCACTATTCCCCCCCCTCCCCCACAATGCCAGCGTGGGTCTTTCCCGTAAGACTATTTTCCCCCCTCGCACCACCAGCTGCTCATCGGAAGGAGCTCGTGGCCAGAGCGGGATCAGGTTTTGTCAGTTTCTCAGTGATGTGGCACCAGGTTTTGACAGGAATGCAGCTGGGAGGGAATCATTACCTTCATTGCCACTTATTATCCTCTGTGCACAGAAGTGACATCATCCTGACTCATCAGCCTTTATCTCCCTCGGTTTGAAGGTTAAGCGATTATGCTGCAAAGCGGTAATGCCTGTTTCCACTCAGCAGCTTGAAAATGGAGCAAATTTGTAATGGCACCACATGTGTGCCACATAGGAACGCCACTACTACTCAGATTGTCTTTCCTTTCCCAAAACTTCATGATTCCAAAAAGTTTAACTCTTCAAAGTCTGTGTTTGTGAGGTAGTAAAGATATGGTTTTCAATCAAGCATTTTTCTATTGATGAATCAACCTGTGGGTCCTCTGTTTGGGGGGGGAATCCATCCTCTGCCTATCCTGGGAGGCTGGAGCCTGTCCCAGCTATCACAGGGGAAGAGGCGGGGTGCATCTGAAAGCCTTTTTCTAGTCTGTTTCTACTCTATATTCAGACTTTATGCTGAAAATCTTTGCAAACTAATATGACCAGTCGTACATTAACAACATCAATGACAATGGCCCAACAGACTACAAGTCACAAGACTACAACATGTGGTCAGCATTCATGCAGACAGGAACGACTGGTAGAAAACAGAAACCTCAAGACTGGATGTTTCTCTTGTGACCTGCGAGGTCTGATAAGGTGAAAGAAGTGGACTTTTTAGGTGATTTAAAGTGGTTATAGTAGAAAACAAAGTCTCTCTGAGATGACACTGTTTAACTTTCATTCAAATTTCAACCTCTTTAAATGTCCTTGAGTGATTTACAAATAGCAAGATTTTTTTTTTAATCTCGTGAAAAGTACATTTCAGATGTTAGTTGTATCTTTTATTTTGGTGAGTCAGATCTGACTCACTTACTCTTTAGTTAATCTGATCTGGTTTGTAACAACAAAAGGACATAATGATAAGAATATATCAGTTTAATCCTTTGTTCCTTTCGTTCCACAGTCCTCCCCTCTGTGTGTGGCAGCAATCCATGCAGGTGTGGTGTCCAATGCAGCAGGAGGGAATATCAGTGTGGTCAACAGCAAAGGCATCTCTCACTATGAGGGCACACTGGCTAACAATGTCACTTCCACTGTGTAAGAGATTCACCACAGTACACACATGCTCTTCTTCTCTGTTTGCTCCTCTTATTAAACGAAATGTACTTGGTCTCTGTCCTAGAGAAGGTTAAATATATATGCAAATATAAATGATTCTGACAGTTTGGTAATCATAATATTTGCTGGATCTTCTTTCTTACTCCTTAGAGGAACTCGTTCAGATAGCCTGTTCACCTTCACGACCAACGGTGAGTCATCCAGGGTCTTTGCTGTATTGTTTTTCCTATTAAGGACATGATTTTCAGATTCTGTTCACTTGCTGTCGATGACATGTTTTTGTGAGAAATACAAGATAGTTTTAAAATTGATTTGTAAGTAAGTTGCTTAAATGATTTATAGGTTGCTTAAGAAACATCCTCAGTTTATCAAACGGGGGAAAAACAAGGGAAAGATTTGTTTAAAGAATTATGATGAATTTCACTTCCTTACTGTCATTATTTTGGTAGGGGTGTTTTTAGGTGCTTGTATGGCATTATTTTGTCAGGGGGCTTTTTAAAATGTGATTGTCTGTAAAGAAAATATCAACGTCCGAGCTGGAAAATTCTACAGGGCTCCAAATCTTATGTCAGAGACTGGACATCCAAATATTTTGGGGGACGTTCCCCTAGAATTTCTGTTGCTACAGGCATTATCAACTAGGATGTAAATCTTGAAGGTTACCTTTTAATGTAATGCAACCCAAACTTTATTTCATTTCTTAAAGATTTTCTGTTCTTATTACTGAAGCTAAGGGTCTGTTTGTGCTTTCAGGCTGCTATGGAACGCTGGGTTTGGCATCTGGGGGCGTTGCTGATACTCAGCTCAGTGCTTCGTCTGTGTTGGACTGGAGCACTCGTGTGTGGGCACCGTCAGGGGCACGGCTCAAAAAGGAGGGACTGCCATGGGCCTCTTCTCAGAGTGACCAGCAGCAGTGGCTGCAGGTAGATCTCAAGAAGGAGAAGCGGATCACAGGTAAACAAAATTCTAATAACAAAGTTATGTTCATTCAATAAACACAACACATACATTACAGCCACTGTCTCTAATTTAGGTTATAGGCTTAGCTGTAAAATCTCACCAGGCTTCAGTGGATGATTGGCTGGTGATTCTCTGACGTTGTCTTGTGACACCTTCCTTTACACAAACGTTGACCTCATCCTCAGGATAAACTGTGACCACATACTTAATCTGTACCTTTACAAAACAAGGTCACCTTCAGGCGAGCTGATAAAGTTCGCAAACCTTTATGAGCAGTGGCTTCAGTGTTTAAGAAAGTTTGGCAGCTTTTGAGTTACATATCTGTAAATTTCTCTTTTCTTATATGCATTGTTGCTTTGTAATATTATCACAAATCAGTTAGATCAGTTTATTTCAAACATTTAACAGACTAAACTACAGTTGACATATACAGACATTCAACAAAATAAAACACCAACTATTTTAATCAACTGTATATAAGTAACTTAGATTTAATGTTTGAGTAGAAAGAAGTATTAACATATACAATCCTTCCCCCTCCTGTCTAGTGAATGATCACAATAATATCTTACTTTCAAATCACATACCTATACAGGTGCATTTATACCTATCCATTGATATATACATGTAAAGAGTGAACGTATTAATGTATTCATATACACATATTAGGGCTGTGTGATAGGACCAAAATCTCATATCCCGAAATAAGACATCTATCGTCCCGATAACGATATAAATCACAAAAATGTAACATTTTCTATAAATTCTGTAAATCTCGGGCAGCTCGACTTGCGTGAAGTGTTTCCAGCTGGGCGTCGTGTACCTGGAGTCGAATGTTTTAACCGATGCATGAAACTATACATTTTTAGATATGTTGTAACGGCGCCGTTTTCTTTGTGAGTATTTATTACACGGCGTGCTGCGGGGAAAAGCCCGTTCTAACGTTTGAGTCTAAGGTTTATTTTTTTACCACCTGGCGGCTCTTTTTTTGCTTCTCATCCGTAAATACTCTGCAGATTCTTTCACGTGATTCAGTTTATTTTGAAAAGTGTCAACAGGATCTTGAGCTTTATTGTGAAAGGTTTATGTGGAAAATAAACAAGCGGACATGCGATGGTTTTACCGTTGTTGTTGCTAACCACAACGCATAAAAACAGGCGCTTGTCTGTCTGTAGTGTGGTTATATTAAATATAAGAGAACTTTAAGAAATTAATATAGCCGCTACAGTGACCATCAAAACCATGAAAAAAATATTGCCCGAAACTTTATTTTGCGACACCACGAAACAAACGATAGCAAATGATACGATAGACGTTTTTATATTGTCATCCGATATATATCGAACAGCCCTAACACATATGTACATACACTCACATGCATATGTACATATACAGCTTTGAATGCCTATATGGACATTCAGATACCACTCAGAGCTTCCTCATCAGTATTTTAGGAAAATGTTTGAACATTTCTGTGTATATGTAGTGTGCATGCCATGGGCACAATTATAGCCCCTTCCAGACATTTGTGCTATGAGTCATTATTGTTGTTTTCAATTCAGAAGGCAGTTGCTTACTTCAGAGCCTCTATAAAAGGGGCGGGGCAGTTGCACCACTGGCAGGCCACAAAAAAATATTA